GGAGGTAGAAAGAATTAGACAAGTAATGCTATGGCCTCACAGAACTGCAAGACAAACAGAGCAGCACTTGTTCCTGATGTTAAGGACCCCAAGGAGAAATAAGGAGGGGGGGTGTGTGTCAGCAGAACTGCCACCTTGGACTTCCAGAGGGCAGACTGTGGCCTGTTTAGGAGACTGGTTGACAGAGTCCCTTGGGAGGCAGTCCTGGAGGGCAAAGGAGTCCAGGAAGTCTGGATATTCTTCAAGAAGGAAATCTTAAAAGGCACAGAAGCAATGTGCCAAAAGTGCCCCAGTGTGCCAGAAGATGAGCTAGAAGTGAAGAACAGAAAGCTACGGCTGGAACTTGGGGAGAAAAAAACCCACAGAGTTTATGACCTTTGGAAGAAGGGGCAGGCAACTCAGGAAGACCTCAAGCTGTCAGGTACATGTAGACAGACATAGTAATATACAGATATTCCAGTATGTCCCGTCTTCCAGAGAGGGAAATTTTGTTCAGAAGGGCCATAACCTTGGATTCTTGCCATTGTTAACTCTAGGACATTTTGTATGTAGCTTTTTACATGCTCAGCAGATTTAATGTATTAATAGCCTACTGAGCAAGTTGAAAACTAAAAAGCACTTGCCACTTTTATTCCCACCATCTAAGGAAAAATACTGATGCCAGACTACATAGAAAAAGATCTACGGAGATTTCCTTTTACATGATGAGGCTTGCAACACCTCCTAATTTTTTTAATCTAAATTATTAAAATACATAATGACACAAGACTGCAGAAAGGACTTTAGGTTTGAAGTGTCAGAGTGACAGAAATTTCTTAATAAGCAGGCAAATATCTTCAGAACACAGCTGAGTGAGTCAGCAAACCTCCTATTTTTATTTGTGTATTTTTGCACAAACCTGGTAAAACCCAAATTAAGTGGCAAGAAAACTAACAGAACTCCCGATGAAAGTCAATAACAGGAAGTAAAGAGTCTCCACTGCTTCCAAAGGCATGTCTCAAGCCTTATTTGCTCAGGAAGACCTTCAACTAAGCTGGATGATAATGTATTTGCCTAGATTTTTATTTCAATATTACTAAGCAGCTTTGAAATACAAGTTCGTGTTAAGTATAATTTGAAAAAGTCCACTTTTGGGAAAAAACCCTATCTCTCAGAGTGACAACGAAAGAAAGCAAAACCAAAACCAATGGCCATCCTTTTTATGCATGGCTCCTTCTGCCTGTAGGAAGTTTAGGATACAGTGGAATTACTGTGGTTATGATTTGATGGGAGAAAATATTTTGGGAGGCATGACTCCCCTTAAACAGTAACCCACCCAGCCCCAGGTAGCAGCTGAGTTCTGCAGAAGGGGTCAGGCACGTGCACATACAGCGGTGACAACCTGACCCGCAGACTGCCAGGCTGCAGGTAGACTGGGAGTGTGTACTGCATCAGCCCCGTCAGGAGAGGGACACGCAGTGACCAACTGCCAGCATCACAGGCTACTGCGCAAAGCAGTATTCAGACCTTATAAAAAGCTGTATCCTGGCAACGATGTGGAAGATTAATTTGTCAAATCTCCCCCAAAGGCTTACGTATTTGGCTGGCTGTCTCTATATATCACTCCAGAAGGACCATTCATATTTTGCATAGCTACATCAAGTAAGTACGTTAATTAAAAAAAAAAAAAAAAAAAAAAGAGATATGTGAGGATACGCATGTATTCTTGCATGAAAGAAATGGGTTTGCATCCTTCAGATTCCAGTACCAGTGTCCTCCCTCTGTAAAGACATCTTGGTGCAGAAGAGTGAGACAAATGAACTTCCATATTCATCCGAAACAGCCTCTTCCAAAATCAGTTCTGCTTTGTATATAAGCAGTCCATGTCTACTTCAGAACTAGAATACACATCAAAGTAAGGATATGCAGATGTGACCTATCCCAGGTTAAGTTTTCACATTGAAAATATCCTTCCTCATGCCTCAGATCAGTAGCCTGTCTTATTGGTAAACTTTCATTTGGACCTGTTCATGTATTCGCCACCAACATGCTCCTTTTTTGATTCATTATAGATTGTCTTGGTTCTCATAATATTTGCACAGACTAAATATCGTATTAGTCAATGTAAAAAAAAAACAATTTTACTTTGCATATGGGTAATATGTGGCAAGACTTTGGTCCAAAGTTTTTCATCTTGACAGAAAAATTATATGCAAATATATGCATGTCACATGTTTTCTTTTTTGTTAGCATCTGGCTTTAGATGGAATTCCTGCAATCGAAACAGTGCTAAAAATGTCCTACTGATTAAGATTTATTATGTGCATGTGTTGATTTTATGTGTATGTATCAATGAGAAACTATATTCCCTGAAATATACATTCCTTCTCTCAGCTATTAATCCTTAAAGCTACAGACTGCTGCTTTCTTTTTGTGTTTCTTTTTGTGAAATTTTCAAAAGCAGTCTAGGGGACTTAAGACATACATAATCTGTTAATTCTAGTGGATTTAGATTTATCTAAATCCCCTACAAAATTTTTTATTTTTAAAAAATTATTCATGCTTCCTTTATCTGATCACTTTCCCTCCGTAATGCCACTGGCTAAGCACCGCCTGGGTTAAAAGTGTTACCTCTTGGTCACCGAAGAGGGCTAGACAGCTTTACACCAGAGGAATCAGAAAGGGTGAAACAGCTAGGAAAGAATTACACAAGTGTATCACCTGCACTGCGTTTTTTTCCACAAGAGATCGGATCTTCAGAAGTGTGTGAGCACTCCTGACGCACTGGCTGCCTCATATATTGAGGGATTCTTTTGGCATTGAAATAATGCTAATTGGAAAAACCACACCCAACTGCTATTAATATTAATAGCAACATTACTTCATGCAGTTTGCTCTTTCTCTTTCAGTCCATCAGAAAGTTCTTCTTGAAAGAGTTCAAGTAGAAAAAAAAATTATAAAAATCTTTTCCCATTCTTTATACAATTACAATTTCTTGGAGGAACTAAAAAAATTAGTCTCCCTTCAGAATAACTTCTCTTTTAAGAGTTTCCTGTCTTTTGTTTCAGTCATTTTATATCCAGAAGACTGCAGCAGTGGAAAAGAGAGGTCAAAAGGTGGAAACATCAATGCTTATGTAATCCCCAAAGAGGATTATTCCCCTCACAAAAATGGCTAGTACGAGATGTGAAATTAAGGATATTCATTCTGTGTCCACACATCACTTGTAATGGAATTGGTGAATCTTTAGAAAAATAGAGCAACACAAGAACAACTGAGCTTCTCCCATGGCATCAATGCAGACAGTATTAAAGTTCAAAACAGTTTTTCTAACCCAGCACTTGCCAAAGAGCTCTGCAGAGCCTACCTCCCTCTCCCTGTACACTTCTGCCAACTAAAGGATGACAGGTATACAGGTTTACTAGAAATGGGAGAAGGGGCACCACATGGATTTTATCACTCCTATTAGTCCTGGCAGATACACATGCATTGTTTTCTCATTCGGACAAGGACTACACCCATTCCCAGATGGATAAAACACATTTATTGTGTTTCTGTGCCAGGATTACACAATCTGATGTGGTCTACAACACAAGAATAATAAAAGTATAACGATTTTCAGGCACAGTGTACACGTAGCACTTCGTAGGACAAAGAAATAAATCACTGGACAGATACTTTGTTATTCATGTCATATATCATTGAATGCAAAAGTCAAAGGCATTTTATAAGTTCGGTGGAACACAAGGCTCAAAAAAAAAAAATCACACACCTCTGAAGATCTACTGAATGTGCCAAGTCAACTTCCAATAAAAGTTTATGGGAAAAAAAGTGCAACTTATTAGCATCAGGGATAACATTTCAAAATGAATGCCTAATTGAATTAGTATTTACGTATCACATACAAATGTTCAACTGCTTAAAACCAAACAGCATACCTTCTGAGACACAACTGATAACTGCGTTTTACCATACATGCATGTTTTCATAGTAAATGAGAAAAATTCCCACTGAGAGTCAAAATCAATGCATTATATTTACACAATAGGATTAGATAGTTAGTACCTTCGCCCAATCAAAACAGTTTACCATCAGGAAAGCAATGAAGGAATTGCCCTAAAAAGTAATCCAGGCTCAACTGTTATCTTGAATTTTACTGATTTGTTCTAAATTTAGAAATATTTTCAAAATCTAATAAGTTCTTATTTTTTTTCCTCAATTCACTGCAAATAATACAAGAGAGAAAAATGGATCTTTTGAATGTAATTGAAAAGTAGAATTAGCTATAAGAGTGTCTTGACTGAGCACTTCCTTGCTCATTGTACATATTTAATCATACTGTTGACGTATTTTAATAATGTTTTATTTTTTTTAAAAAGTAGGTGATAAGATTACTTGTGTTGGTGTCTCATCATTTATATCTTGCTCTGCTCTTGCCTGGTTTCTCTTAAAAGACAGAATGTCAACCAGCTTCTGCAGTGACAAAACAATATGGCTTCATTTGATTGTCACTGGTGATATTTTGGCTCGTTTTTCACGGCTCTGTCACACCAGATTCATAAAGAAGTTGCTTCTCCTCATTTAGATATATGTTTTGAATGGCAACTTTTCATACTTGACCAATGTGATTTTCACTGCTGTATGCTGATTTTTACTACGATATGACTATCTGTATCAATTCAGAGGACTTAAAATACGATCCCAAATTTGACTGCAGGCAGTTCTGTGAAAACAGAAGGTTATTCCACTACCAGGAGCATTCAGACACATTTATATCACCACTCTGCTCTCATCTGTAGGGGTTTTTCCAAACTGAAACACTTAACAGGTTAATATTCCTACCTTCCAACTCCCAGCAGCCAAGTTCTGCAGTGCTCCCGCTGCCCCCTCCAGCGTGTCTGGATTTGAGCACTCAGAAAGAAGTGTGAGGTAGGGTTTGACTATTGAAGGGTGCCACAGCATCTGGATTCCTTTGGGTGGTTCTGCACAGTCTGGGAGAGGTCCTACGCCATCCCACTGTTGGAAAGTGCAAATCAGATTGTCAGCAAGGAACAGCTAAATACTTGAGAATTGCCTCAGTTGAAGCTATAACTGTATGCGTGTGTGAAGGCATCTGCCCGCATGCAGCCATTCTCAATTTTAACATATCATGTGATTCCTCATAAAGAGACCAGATTTCCTACTCAACACTCCTTGTAGAAGAGCTACAGCATTGGTAGTGATCACAGTGTTTTAGCTAGCTGACATAACAAAACCACTTTCCACTGCATTTATTTTTTTTGGGTAGGAAGAGAAGCCCAGTGAACGTATCTTAAGAGGTAAATCTAGAACTTGCATGGGAAGAAGAGATTCTCCTTTTTCACATTCTGCTCAGTTCTCTGCATTCTCACTCTCATCATGAGGGAAGAAAACAACAAGAAGAAACACTCCTGTGGAAAACTAAATCATTCAAGGCCATGAGCCCTCCATCCCCTAAAAGGCTCAAGTGTGACAAGTCTTCCTCAATCGCACAACTTCTGGCTTCTCTCCGTTCAGTGTCAGAGGCATTTGGCCATACAGCCAGCTGTACAGTCTGAGACTCCAATGTAGCTGGTACAACCACTTCTCACAAAACAGACTCTCTTCCCAGAAGGCTACTGCACAAAACTCACTCTTACCAAAAAGAAAAACATCATTCCAGGAGAACAGTGATTTACCTTTCCAGTGGAATGCACAATACTTGCACTTAAGCATGAAACACCTTAAAAGAAGAAAATTTGAGGAAATTCTTTCCCTTTTTTTTTTTTTAAAAAAAAAAGATGTGAAATGCACTTTTAATGACATTTTAATTGTGGCTTCTATCTATACATGTAACATATTTTGCTTTGTACAGATAAAAAGATTTAGAAAATTCATAGCCTTAATGCCACTGTTCGGAACCAGCCTCAACTTTTTAATAAAACTGCTTTTCTAACACCTCTAACACGTCCAGATTGCAAGATACGATACAAAGTAAACCTTTTAATGCCTTGGGTTAGAGCTTACTGTGATTGTGTAGATAAAAAAATGTGTATCATAACATTAAACATCTATTAGACATAACATATAAAGATAGCACAAGGCAAATTAATTCCTTGTTCAGATCTGCAACAGTTAATTTACATAGTTACAAGTCAAACAACACAACAATACTTGCACTGGGAAAGACATAGAATCTCTCGATTTCATGAAATATCAATCATTTTATTTAAGTTAACTTTAAAAACCTATATATAGTTAAAGGGACAATCAATCAAGTCTTATCTAGTAACAACTAATATTATTTCAACAAGATTTTGCTAGATTACTACCACTGAGAATGCAAACCACTACTTTCTCTTAAATTTAAGCAGAACAAACACCAAAGTGGAAAGCTAGTGGGACTATTTAATACGCATGAGGAGTTAACCGAAAACGAGAAAGGTGCTCAGATGTGAAACTCACTGTGCTGGACAAAAGTCACCATAGTTTAAAAGAATCAGCACAGCAATACCCAGTGGTGGTTGCAAAACTACAAGAAAACTGCCTTCTGGAGAAACAATCCCTTTAAATGACACTATTATGGGGCTGTGCCTTTGAATTTTTTAATACATTTTTGTCTGTAAACCAACAGGCTGATTTACTGCATGTGACTCAGTTCTCCTTTATCCTCCATATAAATCACCGTCCTTGCCAGAAATGATTTCTCGTCAGCTCATAAAAAAAATACATTAAAACCTGCTTCTTATTTTAACTCTTGGAATTCAATCATTTCCACTGTCAGAATTTTTTGGAAAACAAATAAGAAACATATCTCACAGGTCAAATCTGACCTCATGCCAGATTTAGGCTCTGTACCTTAGTAAGTCCACTAATGAACGACTTGGGATAACCAAGGGCACAAATTCTGGTCTTCATCCATCTCATTCCAATTTGCACAAATTTGTAATGCATTATGCAATTGAAAAGTGTTTGCAGAGGGTATTTACCATATTATTTCAGGGACAAAGTACATCTAATATATCAAATTTATCAGATCCACCCAATACATTTCTCGTGCACATGTGGGGCTATGACTTTTTTGGTTTAAACTTGGGTATTTACACTCTCATAATCCCAAAGACTACTGAAAATTAGCTGATATAGAGCCCTATATATGTTCATGCTGTGCTGGTACATATAAAGCACTAGAAATGATACTTGCAGATAAATTAAGATTTAATGTGATTTTGCCATTCTGCTCCATAATGAGAAAACATTTAAAGAAAAAAAAAAAGTGAGACAAATTACTGCATTTCCGTGCCCTTCTTGTGATTCACTGTTAGCATGACTGCATTAATGTAACACCAACAGCAGGGGAAGACCTTTTTCTCAAGACGCTGTGATGCCTCAGTCCTCGTAATGGTGATGGGAGCTTCTGGTACTGCACATGCACGTGCAGTGAAGGTGCAGTAAATCCAGTGACACTGAGATAACGCCCTGCAGTATTCCTCAGACACGGTGCGTACAGAAAGCAGCTGAGCAGCACACACAGGGAGGGCGTCACAGCCGGCCATGTCTAACAGCCGTGCTGTGCCTATGGCAGCCTCTTCTAGGCCGCGCGATAAAGGGCGACAGAACTGTAGCTGCTTCCTAGGAGGCAGAGGGCACAAGCAACTGTGACCTGTCACGCACTCCCTGTCTCCATGTTTCAGCTCCTCTCTGCTCCCGCACGTGTGATCACAGCTAACCTTTCACTGAAGGGCTTCATGGCTTCTGGCATCTTCCGCATAGCCGAGACCAGGGCCTGCAGCTGTACAGCCCAACTGCTGCAGGGCACGCAGGACTGACACAGCTCAGAAAACAAGCTATTGCAGCGGAGAATTTCTTGATCTTCACCTATTTGGTTTGTATTTTGTAAATATAAACATCAATTGCCTAAATAAAAAAAATATTTTCCCCCAAATGATATTATAGTCCATTTTCTCAAATGGTGGCTAAAGCATGGCAGAAGTTGCTTTGTAGTTCACATTGCTCAATATTAATGAACCGAGGCAGCACGCTGAACAGCTCTACCCAGTGAATTACTGGAACCGTTACTGTATTGTTGCAGACCATCAGAAATGATCAGTAAGGTTTATTTGAGATGGGCTATGGATGTAGTAGGAGCCTCTGAAAAAGGGGATGGCTGCATGCAATTACTCATCCCATCTTATGCTAAAGAGAAAAAGAAAAAAAAAAAGAAGTCATAAACAAATATTCCTTCCAGGCTTCCCTCCTCCAGCTGAAATTACCCACATATATTGTGGTTGAAGCTGACAAACTGTGTTACGTGGGTGAGATACAAATCCCTTAATTTCCTCAAACTGGTGCAAAGAAAGGATGAAAGTCAAGTAGAATAAAAAGCTGAATACAAAGATCTTTAACAGCAACAGACTTATGAGAGTCAGAGTACTCTAATAAAGTTTCCAAAGTTTTCGCACTACTAAGGAACTTTGAGAGGAGAAAAAGATCACTCATGCTCCCCTGTGCCACACAACAGATTATCTACAACCTTCTTTCTCATTTTAATGAGAGCAAATCCATGTTTATAGCATAATTCTACTGAATATCAGGGAAGTCTTCAACTCAGTAAGAAAAGCGCACTTTCCATATTTTGGATTTTGTACTGACAACCTCAGGTTGGTGGAGTTTGTTATTAAGGAGTATCACAGGACAATAGGTTTTCTTGTGATAACAAAGCAACAGTGTTCTATTTTCATTTATTACATATGAGTACTTTCCCATGATCTGTGCAAATACCACTACTAAAAAAATAAAACACACTCAAAAATAATGCAGCAGTGACTAAAACGATCTTGATCTCTCTCCAGTGACCCTTGACATTTGAGACAGCTACGCTCTTTGTAGCAGCAGTGACAAAATTTGCAATTAAACAGGGCTCACCAAAAGCATTTTTTAATGCCAAAGACTTTTAAACTAACAGGCCCCCTAAGAGGGCTATTTCTCACCCTGCATTTCTTAATGGCTGTGGCAGTTTGTGCCAGCTGTCCCTAGGCATGTCAGTTCAATAACCTCTTTTGGAAACCTTTGTCCAAGAGATGCATTGGCAATGCTGTCAAGAGCAGAAATCTAAAGTTAACCAACAACAATCCATCAAAATCACAGAGCTTGCTTTCAGGGGTGATGGGAATCCATGCAGCTGATACAAAGAAGGCAGAAATGCCACTATTTAAATCAAGTCAAATTTCAGTTTAGACATCCAGACCTAAAGAAAGGTGGTGAATATAAATGAAGGTGTCTATTGACACAGAGACTACAGGAGTAGGGTGGGAAAGGGCAGAGCTGCCGTGGTCCAGCAACATGTAGTCCCAACAAAACTGGGCAATTCCTGGATACAGTTTATTCCATAAATAACGGTAATCTCCCCAGTTTGATGCAACGATTTTGGGAAAGTTATTTGGAATGCTTTCACAACATTTAGATGTTTTGAATCTTTATTATTAATTAGATACGAATAAATAAAAAATATGCTCCATATATATCACATACTTAAAATAATTGCCAATGCCTTTATATTATTACGCTTAGCTAAGAAAAATAATTTAATTCAATTTGTGCATTTTGCCTCTGCTTAAAACCAGACCACTCCCAAATAAAACAGGATGGAGTTCAGTTCAGGGACAAAGTCCTTGGCATCTCACTACATCTCCTTCTCCTCACCCCACTCCCCTCCACAGGAAGCAGAATCTACTGGGCTTTGCACTAAGTTCCACAAATTGACAAATACAAATTATATTTAATAACCCTATAATTTTAACTTCGAAAACAACTTGGCCATACATGATAGCGAGAGATGCCCAGTGTATATGAGATGTTTCTGTGCAGGCAAGCAAGAATTTAGAAATGGTTGCTAAGAAGCTCTGTAACGAGTTGCTCAAAACGGTCAATTTCTTGCTAATCAATACTTGGCCTAACCACTTTATGCCACACAAGGAAGGAACAAGTGGAAACAGTATCCCTCCTAAGCAGAACATACTGACAACACAGCCTTTCATCCCTAATCTCAGTTTAAATTATTAGCTAAACCCAGGAGCCATTGCCATTTCTCTGTTTCTGTGTTTATTAATTTGGTATGGCTCAGTAGAGTAATGAAATATACTTGGTAAAACAGTGATCTCACCACATGAAAAGGCATATCCAACAGCTTTATTTTTTATTCTTTTTGAAATATTATTGCCTTAAACCTGGTATTTCACCTGGACAGAAGAATTTACAGCCCATTTAGCAAGCATGCTAAAGAGGTGTGCCAGTCAATTCATAATGACATATAACTTGAAATGTTGCTGTTATACCTTAAGGCTCCTGACAGAAGGTGAAAGAGAAGGTCAGGCTCATTTCAAAAGTGTCACTTCCACTCAAAAATCAGATTTTGGGCTAGATCCTGGGTTGACAAGAATGATCACACAAGGGGAACTTGAGAGGAACGTGAAGCCAAGAAGCCAGATTGTTTCTCCTTAGTGAAGAAAGGAAAAGAAATGAAATAGTATCCCGTGTATATAATGGGCTCCATAACAAGGAATAAAATAAGGATTAATGACAACTCCCTGGTTCTTTTACTGAAATTGGACCATACACCTTATTTTCCCTAACCACTTTTTCTCATAATCCTTGTTTCTTGTACAGCTTGAAGAACAAAACTGTTGGCAGCAGTCAGCATACTAACAGCAGACAAAATTTTCAGTGGTGGAAAAATTAGTTTCCATCTGAAGAGTGACATGATACAAGGCACAGAGGTCAATGTCTACAATGTCCTAGAGGGAGATGAAGGCCTCTACAGCTGTAGAGCTTTGTGGGGTGAGGGCTCGGTGACAGCTGATCACAGGTAAGCAGCAGAGAGCATACAACGAGCAATGGTGACAAGGAATCACAGTCCTTGGGGGCCGAGACAGAAATAAAGTCAGGTGAGTCTCACTTATTTTTCCTGAGGCCTTTATAGAAATTTTGCTTTCTCTTTTTCCACAGATAACACCAATGCTATACCTGGCTTTTAACCCAAATCTTTAGAAGGTTTGGGTCTCTTCCAGCATTAAACTTGTGTGACAAAGCATACATGCCTCAAGAACCTGTTTGATTCTGGTAAACCACGGAAGAGATGAACATTGTGGGCTCTTTTAATACCACTCACCTTTATTCTGAAATAAGGAGAACACTTTCCTGCAATTCTAAGGGAACTCCTTAAGAATGGTCATCTGAAAGGTGTCATTAGCCTTAACTATGACCTGAACAAAGAAACATTTCTTACTTGATTTCATGATGTAGAGAAGTTGCCATTGGTAAAGACAAAAACTGATGTGACTAATAAAAACTATATTCCAATTTGTTCTTGAAAGACCTTTCAAAGAAAACCACTTTATGTTACCAATCATTTCTGTTCTCCTCAAGTAACTTATGCATGACTAAAACTGAAATATAACAGAAATAGGAATAGTTTCCCAAGTCATAAAACAAAGAAACCAAATTCTATGTTCTTTACAGAGAAAACCAATGAGGAAGTGACTTTAATGTTACAGAAGATTTCTCCTGTTTTGTGGTTTAAGAAACAAACTCCCTAGATGTGTATGGGATTCTTAATTTTTTTTTTTTAAGTACAGAAAAATGCAACTTCATCCACAGCTGCTGTCTAACATGATACATCCGATACTACTGCCCTATTACAGTAGTCTTGCTACTACTAGCCTTTAGGCAAGTTGAACATGTATCTAATAATTAAAGACCACTCCATAAATGCCTATACTGGTCAGTTCAGAAGAAGTTCAAGAAAATACACACTTGAGAAACTAAGTGAAGAACTGAAGAAGTATACTGTAAAAGGAAAAATTCAAAATTGTATTCACCAAAATCTGAACACTTTTTCCCCACACTGGTTTGTAAACCTTATTTTCTGAGGAAGTCATTTGAAACAGCCAGTTTTATTCTATGAGAAACCCACACACTGCCAAAGAAAGAATGCTGCCTATACCCTCAACACATTTTCTGGAAACATAAAGTGTAGCAGGCTGCAGAACTGGAAACTACTCTCCTGTACGGAGATGTTACAACTCTTAGAGATGTGTCTGTGCCCTGTGCTTCACTTGACAGGAAAGGCAAAACTCTCAAGAATTAAAGGAATCACACAGGTAAATGACTGGAGCTTTAATACTGGGCTGAACTCTACTTCGTGTATCTGTAGGTGACACTAACAATGAGACCCAAATATTCAAATTAATGTTTTACTTTGAGCTATCTGAAACACAAATAAATGGCAATGGAAAATACTAAATCTAGGAAGAGATCAAGAACTACGTGCTGCCAGCAGAGGTCATTTGAAAGAGTTCAGAAATCAGTAGCCATTCTCATTGCTATTTAGTGTGTGTACTGACACAATGTCTTTCTCTGAAACACCATTGTCAGCATTCCCCAAATTTATGTTGTTAATAGGAAAACAAGAAGATAAATACACTTTGAAAGTCAACCCACATAAGATAAAAACCCACAGCACCTCAAATAACTTGAGGAAGCTATCCAGATTGTACTTCTCAATCTTTGTTTTGTAATGACATTAAATATAGCAAAATACGCATGCTTTTCTAACATTCACTCATATCACTTGATTCAGTCCTGTAAACTTTTCTCTCAGCATGTAGAGGCAGAATACAAGACTAACTTTGAAGCAAATAAGCATACAAATACAAGCCTGATGCTTCCTTGCATCAAGGCCTCTCTACAGACACGTGGCTGTATGTAAGTACAGTGTAAAGTATACGCAGATTACATCTGAATGGTAAGACTTAGATTTTTCATTATAAACGGCTTCCTTTAATAGACTGAGCATTTCAGAGTATTTATTGTGCTCACAGTGTACCCATGTCTACAATTGCCAGGTGCCACCATGTAATATGTGACTTTCTCAGGAAATGTATTTTGTTACTCCAGAGCCAGTCTGCTTTAAGTGCTCAGCTAATTAACAAAGGCAACAGTTTTGTATATTATGCATCATGAACTTTATTTCTAATACAGTGCATCCATTATTTATGTTTTAAATGATGGGAACTTCACCTACTTGCAATTCAGCTGCACGTAACTTTCATTACCTGATCTTGTGATTTCTTTTTCTTCTTCTTCTTCCCCCAGCACCCTGAACTCTCTGTGTCTTTTCCATTGGCATCACCACAGAGTAATCCATCAAGTTCATCTGTTCCCATCTGCTGTCCCTGAGATGTTTCTGCAGCTAGCCTGTATGAGAGGTTCCTCAAAATACACACACAGTTTTCAACGGTCTGAAAAATGTGACAAAAAAAACCAAAATCAAACAAAACAGGCAAAAAACCAAAAACCAAAAAACCAGAAAAAAGTTAAAATCCTTCACTTGCTTGCTCTATATACAAAGCAGAAGAAATATTATTGATCTTTGCACATGTATATTCCCAGCACAATTCTGATCTGATCATTTCCAAGTAGTCCCTAGGTAACCACAGCTTAAGAGATTTAGAATTTTTTTATGTAAAGAAATCAGTAGTCTGGGCAACATTGTTCCAGTTTTTCTTATTTTCATTCCGAATTTCATACTGGAGCCGCACGTGAAACAGAAGCAGAGGTAAAAAGTGATCAAGAGAACCTGAACACACAGAGAATGTCAGCAAAGTCCCACTTCAGTGAACATAAAACGCTACAAACATAAAATGGCAATAGGTTCTGGGTTTGTTTTTTTTTTTTTCTTTTTTTTAAACCAGAAATAACCCTTTTCTGGCATAAATTCTCTGTAAGTTCCCAGAAAAACAGGATCCTAGTTCCATTTCACAAGTAGCATGAACAGATGATGTTTCGAGACACAGAAATAAGACCAGAAATCTCAGGGTCTTGTTGCTTTTACTGCTTCTAGCCAGGCTGCAGATACCTTGTGGGTAGCCTTTCCCTTTCATCCATTTATCCCCCAATAGTTTACGCCTCCTGTAGAAAATGCTGCCAGGAATCCAGAAACGGAGTGACACCCAGTGGAAGAAAATTCACTAATAATTCACCATAATTTCTGCAAGTCTAAAAGAAGTTCAGCTTAGACCTACTTGAAGCTTACTCAGTTGGTTCAATTCGGTTTGACCTTCCCTAGTAAGAAGGATATGGGCTTTCTAGAGGCAGGGAAAGCACGATTAAAAAAGCCAGTCTGTATCTATGTATACTTCAACTGTTCTTAATGCTCCATGGAGATAAGAAGTGACAGTCACTACATCCCAGCTCTGTTGCTCCATTAACCCAGAACGGAACAACCGCGAGGCCTTCGGCTTTGTCTTACTCTGCCACATTCACCAGTGAGGCAAACAGATGGGGCTTCATTTACGTTCATATACTGTATGAGCTTATGCCAGGTATGCACTTGGCAAGCAGTTTTTGTGACGACATTAAGTTCCAGAGATGATAGTGAACTCAGACTCATCTCCGCAGGAATATTTACTTATTTTTTAACACAGATGAAATTTCACATTACACTTGTACTAATCTGAAGTCTCCAGCCAAATACATAAACACATGCAGAAATATACATGTGTGCGCGTAGAAAGTGTTCTAAGTGTGCCTTTCATACTTGAAAGCTCTGCAGACCATAAATTTTCAAAAGTTTGCTGCCTCTTTGACATTTGTGAATTTTATTCACTCTTGCTAATATTTGTTTCTGCACAACCACAGTGTGCTGAAGCCAAAGCTTTGTGTTTGTTGATAAGGGTTCTAAATTTTTATTCCCCTTTTTACAAATAATAGTTTTCACAATAAAAACTCTCATTACATCAAAAACAAGTAAGCAGAGTCCACCGCGAGGACAATATTACTTCAAAGTAAAAAACCAATCAGCAAACTTCCACAGCTTCAATGCAACCGACACCTTCTTCACTCCTACAAGCCAAGAAAGCTGGTTTGAGCCATGCCGCTGGACAGATGTCACGCCTTGACTTGTAGCTTTGAACTTTCAAATGTCCTTGTATTCCTCATTCCTTTTCCAGTTTCATCATAAGGGGACTAAATAGGAGTTCAGTAATCTTTCTACTTTAATAGATCAAACTGAAATTATGAACAGTAATTTCATCTGGTAACCATATCCAAGTCACTCATTTTTAATCCTTTAACTTGAATTAGCATAGCTTTTTCTTAGTACACATTTATAAGAAACACTGCTGCTATGATGCTTGTGATGATGCTAAGATTTATGCATTTTTAACTTTACCAACATGAGGAATGACTTTAACAACAACTCTGCAAACGCTTGCAAGTCCCCCATCCTCTTTCAGGACCTGCAAGAGCAGGGATCAGTTTTTCAGCATTTCAGTTTTTAGTCGCTAACAGTATTACAAAATTATCTAATAGGGCAATTGTTGTGGCATTTGGAAAACAACATTTATAACTTTATTTTAAAGTTCAATTTTTCGTTATAATAGCACCATTTTTGCAACTAGATTAAAAAGTGATTTAGAGACAGTAATATAAATATTTAATGTAATTAAAATTACATTCTACTTTGGGATAAAGATGTAAGGTAAGAGGCTACACTATGGTGTTTTGTATTTAGCTGCACAACTGCTTTATGTCATACAGTTAGAAGCCCATTACACAGGAAGTTAAAACTACTAAGGCAGGGAGAATAATTTTTCTCCCATTTTTTCATTTTTTCCTCCAGGTATGACTTAGCCTGCAGTTTTTCCAAGTCGTAACAGCTACAAATAAAAGTACAAACAGAACAGTCTATATTAACAAGAATAGGCAAAACAGGGAGCTTACTGTGCTCCTTATTTAGCCTTTTTAACAGCAGAACAACCTTGAAATCAGTTGGGTCACCTACAAAGAAACTGCTGAAAAGGCAGCAGCTGAGCTGTGAGATGGGGCATAAACTGACTTCTTTCCTCCTCCTCCATCCACCTTCCGCTCTGCTCCAATGAAGCCCCTCTAACCTCTCCTTTCTGTTAGGCCAGCCGAATCAGAGCTTTAAAACAGTCCCTGGTCCAGCTCTTCCAAAAACTCACAAAGCTAAAAACACTCATGCGTTTGGGGGCTGCTCTGCAGGAGGCGTCAGGGAGGGGCGGGGGCAGCTGGGTTTGCTCTGAACCCTACTGCAAGTGCGGTCCCCACCTCATGGGTGGGCCTCCTCCAAGCATCACTCTGCTAAACTTCTATTAATGGAAAATTGACCATAGACTAATGGGTTGTGGGGTTTTTGGGTGTTTTGTGGTGTTTTTTTTTTTCTTTTAAAAAATAAAACCATGCTGCTAGCCCAGCACCACATGCTACAAACCCCTCTAATTCCTCTCTCCATCCCCTAGATTCATACACAAATTTCACCTATTTGGTTCAGGCTAACGACCAGAAAGGTCTGGAGGTTGCCCCTCTCCAACCTATAAACCCCTCCAATCTATAAACCTACAGAAGTCCACGGACAGCTATCTGCGAAGGATCATTTGGAAACACAAACCCAGCAAGCTTTAAAACTTCTGTTGCGTAAAAGGCTGCTCTCCTGCAATTCTTAGGGTTTGCAAAAGGACCAAGGCTGCCCTAGAGCTGTAACTGTAATTAACTTAGCACCATATACTGAAAGCAAAAGGTATTTGAAACCAGCCTTTTTCTTCTCTGGAATACTTTAATGTATTACAAATCTTCAATTTGTAAATACTTGAAGGTTTTTTAATCAGGTAGTGCCTTTCACCTTTGGAGAAGCATGTTCATATATTAGTACTTTCAAAGGAGACATCAAAATGCATCTTAAAACAGTTGTTACTAAAAGCATTCATCAGTTCTCTTCAAAGAAGAAATAAAGTTGGTTGTTCTGTAAAACTGCCTATTAGTTGCTCAATTTGGTTTTTTTTTTTTTTTTTGGTGTGTTTTTCTTGTAAGGCTACCTCACTGTTATTAGCTCTGTCTCATACTGGGTACTAAAAAATCAATTTTAAGGTAAACCTGGCAGAGCAACGTAGGGAACTTTACATGGAATATGAAATATTTCCTCTTCTTAAACCACTAGCATATTTTTTCCCTTAATACTTCAAGTGAGCAGATGACACGCTTACCTGTGCACACTACACAGCTAGACACAAATCCAATACTTAGCACACAAAAACACACAGCTCAACAAAAAGAAAAGAAAAAGATGAGCTAAATTATGCTTTTCTAAGGCATCCCTCACAGAGCATTTTTTAAAAAAAACCTGTGACTTTATAGTTCTGAGGTACCCTGAATACCTGGATTTCTTGCTCCTGAAAAGAGAAAGATGACAAACCTTACTATCAATTTCACTGCTCCCCAGAGCAGACTGGATCACGTACAGCAATGCATCCGTCAGGCCATCACACTCCCTCATTCTTCTGCGGGCCTCCTCTCCAGCAGAGCTGACATTCCTGCAAGGCAACAGCAAGGGTCACCACCTCCCCTCCTGAAACCTTCTCACAATTGACATACAGATAAAACACTTGTTTTATTTTCTCCTTTCATCAGCTCAGAGCTGTGAATAATGAAGACAGCTGTGAATGAGCTCAGGAAATGTAACACAGAGGGGAACAAATGGAAGTCATCAGGTCCTCCATGAGAAGAGGCTGAGAGGCCAAGCAGCATGCGCCCACCTGAGCTGGGAGACCCACAGCCTACTAAAATTTGGAGAAGGGCTGATAATTTTTCTTTCTTTTTTTTTTTTTTTTTTTTTAAAGTAGGTTTACAGTAGTGAGAAATTGTTTTAAAAATGTGCATATGTACATATAAATCAGGCTTTAAAAAGTCTAGAGGTTTTGCAAAAGAAATCTCCTAGGATTTGAAGAGCCCCGTAGTTAGGGCTCTTAACCTGAGAGAAAAATATTATCAAAGCATAACATAAAACACCTGGTGTTGCTTGCTTCTCACTTTACATGAGTGTTTCCTTTTCTCTCTCATTTTGAAAGAACATTAATGCCTCAATCTTCTCTTTACGTAGTTACTCACAAGTTGTTTTACATTGCAAAATTTAAAACCTCAGCTTATTATTACTGTTCCTCAGACAGGGCCAGAGGGCCTTCTGAATACATTTATAAAAATGCAATTAAAATAAAATTTACTGCATAAAATAATGTGTCATAAAGTTAAAAATATTGATGTAGAAAGAAACAAATATGTATGAATGAGCATATATAAATAGAATCTATACTTGCTAACATCAAGTCTCCCTGAGAAAAATTGCATTCAAATTTGTGCAGCCATTTTGATTTGGAAATGGGTGAATTAGCAATCTCGGGAACACGGTAAAACTTTTCACATAGTCTCCTTCATTAGGGGAAGACAGCCCTCTGCTGAGGTGGCTCATCTGTAGCTCCCCTAAATCCACTACTGAAGTTTATGCGAAGAACAGAAAAGGGCACACCAGCCCTGCGTACTTAATGCCAATGTACGGAAACAGAAGGGAGGGCACTGGCCCTTTGATTTGGAAGAAGGCAAGGCACTTTCTTCCTCTCATGCCATTTTCAATTGCCTTTGCATCAAAGATGGAAAAAGGATGAGAATCCTGGGAGGAGGGAATGAATTTTAAATGGAGGAAGGTGAGAGGACTTAAGGATAGGTCTCCTTTCAATTCTTTCTTTGCTCTAGCTACTTCATCCTGTTCTGCCTATCATCTAAAAAATAGCATTTCTGTTCCCCCAAAGCACCAAACGGTTTTCCTAATCAAATAATCTTATAACTGGACAATCCCCCAGCCCCTCCAATGCAGGCTCTTAATTGATTTTGCTCCCTAATCACACATAATTTTCCATCTATACTTGCCTCCCCACACAGTCCTAATTAGTTCTGCTCTCCCACACACAACCTGCCCCAATTAATTCAATACTGTTCCCTTCACCTCTGCAGACAGTCCAATAAAAACCATACAGCCCAGGAGCACGAGAATGAATTCCTTTATTTCCCTAGCACACAAGATAGTCCTTTTTCATTTTCCTTGATACTCCCCAGTTCATACCACATTACACATCAGAAGTGTGCCCTTCATAATGGCTTTCATGTTTTGTGTTGTCTTGTTCAATTCCACACCTTTCCCCCCCTCTCTCTGTTGCTATAAGAGCAGCACATGAAGATTCTTCCTCCAGTTCATGGGGAAACCTTCTGTCATCCAGGAATTGGGGTCTGGAGAGCATCAAACAGAAAAAGTCTTCCACTGAAGTGATTGAAACCTTTTGACTTCCCTTTGGGTGACAGAAATCAGAAGGTAAAATTATACAGCATGGTTTTCCCAAAACAGTGCCTGTGTCTTACATGTGCAGGGCTGGGGACTCTGCCTAAAGTGCATTTTGAGTAGACTGTCCCCTTATTAAAGGCAACAGCTCCACCTGAAAGTCCGTAAGGGCAACATACGTGGGAAAAGCAGAAGCATGGATCTGAAAAGTGCATTGTGGGGTGGGCAGTGAGGGAGATTACTGGACTTCTTTTATCTAAAATTCTACTCTCCTATCCTCCAGGAAGATAAAGATAGAGGTAGAGAGTTGTATCCAGCCCTAAAATAACTGCAGAAATTACAATAGGAGGATGCTGAGGAAGTGTTCTGAGCACACCACCTTTCCTTGCACCATTATCAAAAAAAAAAAAAAAAAAGCTGAAATATTACTGAGTCCTTTCAAACAGAACTAGATCTAACAGTCTGTACTAACATAATGTGTCCAGGCTTCTTCATTTTCTGCAGTTACATATACTGAGTGCAAGCTGTCAAAATATAGACTTAGACATTGGTAGAAACAGAGACGTACATTCTCCCTGATCTTTTCATTGAGGTGATTTCTCCTTCTCTCTAGCATGGCCAAATGAATGTCACCTTGGCTCTCCAGAGCCTGCAGAGACTGGAAGCCTCTCAGCTTCTCTCCAAGCTCACCAGAAACTCCTCCTCACCAAGACAGCAATGCAGACAACCTTATAGTCCCTGAGCTGTGAGCTGTCTGCCTCATTCAATTCCAGCCAAACAAAGAATATGAGGTCTTCATACAAAGTAATACAGACACACTAGGGGCACATCTCGCACAGACAATGCATTTCTTTGCCCTGTGTGGAGGAGCCGTCGGGTTCGGTTCTTCTCCTTCCCCATTACGCTCTAGTTGCTTCAGTAATCAAGAGATGGATATACCGAATTCCCATGACTGCTTTTCCTTTTCTTTTAAAAGTCTCTGTCTAGTTTCTGCACTGACTCATAGCTACTACAGCCCTCCCCAGATTTGGCATATTTATTTACATGGGAAATAGCTTAAAAACCAAGACAAATCCAAACCTTGCATCAACATCTCGGCAGAAATAATAATTTGATTATTTAAAAAGAAATATATTGCATTATCTAACTATGCCCATTTCACCTCCATTGAAGGACTCATTGTTAACTGAGATCTTTTGCAGAAGGTCTCTAGTATCACCATGTTCAGGCTATGTAGTTATGCGGAAGAAAAGCAAGTTCCAGATTACGAGAGCTGTCAAAGAAAACAGGCTGCCATCTTAATTTTCTTATTTCTTATTGTTAACTTGAACATGCTCTAGCTGTCAGTGTGACAGGGAGAGGCCATGATTTGTCATTTGTGAATTTACAGGTCACTGTGTAAACCTTAAACTGGAGCATTAGTAGTATCTACTGTTGGTAAAATGTCCCACTGAGTAAGCACACTTTTCTCCAGTATCAGTCTCCAAACAGGTGAAACCACATTTTCTGGATTTTTAAAGAGATGTGGAGATACCATGCACAGGTTTTCATGAAAAACTTACTTTTCCATCTAAAGACAGCCTAGCAAAACCTTGACTGCCTGGTAAATTCTGGTTATTTGTGGAAATTCTACTCGCAGGGTATATGCGAGAATACAAAGAATACAGAGTGCTGAAGAGTAACTCTCAGTTTAGTCAGAAGGTCCCACTCAGACCTCCAAAAACTAGTTAATGTAAACAGCTTCTTCTCAGGAGTGGAACACCAAGAACAGATAGTCAGAACATGAGCTCAGACCCGCGGCTCATCAAACTGCTGTTTTCTCAGCAAACGGCGGCCCAACTTTGCTAATAATCTAGGAATAAAAAGAGAACTACACTAATCCAGCTTCAGATTTTCAGTTTTATAGGAAGATGTGTCACAGCTATCATGCCATCACCTGATAACTAACAGCAGGCATAATCCTCCAAACACACATAAGGGGTGTCACTCCAGTGCTCTATGGATATGAAGTGTGCAGTATAAAGGAATGCCTGTGCAGCACATATCCGATTCCTGTCAACCTGGCACTTACCTTAGCTATTCAATATAATTGGTGGGATCTGAGGCAGGGGAATATAGGTAGTGCCAAGTAATTTCCTTCTCCTTTAGGGTAATTTTCCATATGCTCATACAAACTGTGGAGGTTTTGAGCAACATCCTTAAGACTCTAGGATAGCTAAGTTCACCTGCCTTATCCAGGGGAGGGACACTGAATTCTATGGAAAGATCATCCAGAAAGTCAGTGTGCTGAGACATGCCCTCTGGATATGGGAATGTTTAGCAAGCTGTTCACATTACTCTCAGTGGCAGTTCTACAAATCTCAAAGACAATTAAAGCATCTACAGAAGCAACCGCCCTCCTTGAACATGCTCAGGTCACATCAAGTAGTATGACCTCTCCTGTACCAGCTACAGGTCTGCA